ATATTTATATACAAATCTCTAGGCATGGCAGGCATCAGGGTGAATCTTGAACGACATAAAAGTTCCCCATCACACAGCTCTATGGCCCCTCTACCCACTGGAAGGCTCGCGTTCTACGGTTTAGTAACTACTGACACCTTCGCCTTGATCCCTGAAGAACAATCAGGTTGAAGGCACTATCACAACCCGTGCCATCTGGGAGCTGCTACACGTTCAGTGACAAATTCAACCAGCATTAAAACGTATCGCTATAAGCGTCATGCATCAAAGACTTGTTTCTGCCAGAGATAAAATTAGTAGTTTCTTCTAAGGAGGAAAGCGAATCTCTTTCTAAACCAATTAAACAGCTCAGTTTTCAAAAACGAAAAGCATCTCCAATACAACTATAAGACGCAATGCAGCCTGCCTGGTGTGCATTTATAGTATGTCGAGGTTCATAGAAAATTCTGGAAACAAGGCTGTCCTTCAGGTCATGTAAGATGTCTCCTCATAAGCCTACAGTCAGGGACTCACGTCCACTGTCCTCAGCCCGGGCTGTAGAAACAACGTGAACACTCTTCAAACAGAGGCCAGGGTCTCATCCCAGCCCGTTCGGGTCAGCTAAGATTGACAACTATTGACAAAAACACTCCTGTTTTCTCATTTCCTGGCATAAATGAGTAAGCAGCGATATGACATCTACTCCCTGGCCGGGGTTGGTAAGCCCACTTTCGCTTGGGCTCACCAGCACCCAGCCCCACTGAGTGCGGACCAATCGCCTATCCAGGCTGCATTCCAGCCAGCCCGGCGCAGGCACAGGCCAGGCACCACAGACCGTGTTCAATTCAAACATAAGCTAGCAAACTACAACCAAAGTGGCACCTCTAGACTTCTCCAGACAACAAGCGGACTTGCTATGGAGAGAAAGGATTTAAAACTTAGGCCCAGCGGAGAATGTTCAGGGTATGGAGCTGTGCTGTGTGACGCTCTGACGCGGTTTCTCATCCCCACGCACACCAAGCGCAAACTCCGATGTGGGAGATGGGTCCCTGAAGGACTCCACTCTGGAGGGGTGTCCGTGGGGCGGGAGGCTGTCCAAGGGGGGATTCAGGACACACTGCACTCCATTTTGCTGCAAACTAAAAACTGCTCTAAAAAGCAAAGTCTACTGGCCGGGCGCGCTGGCTCATGCCTGTAATCCCAGCACTTTGGGAGGCCGAGGCGGGCGGATCACGAGGTCAGGAGTTTCTGCCTGGCCAACATGGTGAAATCTCGTCTCTACTAAAAATACAAAAATTAGCTGGGCATGGTGGCGCGCGCCTGTAATTCCACCTACTCGGGAGGCTGAGGCAGGAGAATAGCTTGAACTCAGGAGGTGGAGGATGCAGTGAGCCGAGATCGCACCACTGCACTCCAGCCTGGGAGAGAGAACAGAGCGAGACTCCGTCTCAAAAAAAAAAAAGGTTTATTAAAAGCAAAAAACCCCTGAATACCAAACCAAATAAAACCAGGCCTAAACTGTATGAAAGCCAGACTGCCCTTAAATACAATATCAAAACATCCACTGTCCTGTGGCAGTTTAGAAGTAAAAGGTACCCCACGGAAATGACTAAATCCTCTGAAATTATCTTTAAAACAGACCCAATCCCTCCAGTAACCGGCCAAACTGTTCCCTGACCTGAGCCGTAAGAGATAACCTGATATGCATAATTTACAGGATGCCACACACAGAACAACTGAAACATTTTTGCAGTAACTATATGACAGCAGAAATACTGTAACAGAGCAGTCCTGAAGAGATCAACCAAGCCCGAAGCAGCCTGGAACTTCCAAGTGGTCACAGTCCCGAGGGGCGTGCAGTTAACCCAGCACAGCCGGCTCTGCCCGCACTCGCCCTCCAGGCTGCACTGGGCCGCGCAGGTGTCACCGCGCCTAGGTCCAGAGGCGGCTGACTCGGTTCGGCAGGCCAGGCGGCGTCAACAGAGAAGCGGTTTCACCCTCAGCCTGGACCCTCGGTGAGAGGAACGCCAACGACTTCCTGTGGAGCTCGGTGTAGGGCCCGGCTGGAGAACCTGAAGGCCAGGAGGAGGGAGGCAGGGAGGTGGGGGAATGCGGAACAGGTGGAGGCCAGGGGAGAGGTTGGGAAGGCAAGGGGAGGCCCAGAGAGGTGGAGGCAGAGGAAGGGGACGGGGAGGCCGGGCAGGGAGGCCTGAGAAAGGGGGGGAG